TGACGAAATCGAGAAGACCAAAGCAAACAAAAGAGGGGAAAAGGCAGCGTGGAAACAAACAAAAAACTGTTTCTGTGAGATCTTTGGTTGGCGGGAACCGATATTCTTCCAAGACAGAACCGTTAACGCCACGGTATCCAAACTCGACCAATTTAACGTGGCTCTTGTTGGTTTCGATGATGGCTTGTACCCTAGTACGCCGCGTTGGTGCGGTGTCTATTAGTGGGAAACGTATATGAAAAGTCGTACTTTTGCAGTACAACTTGAAGTTGATAAAAACGTGATGCAGTTCAGCGATTTGCACGCCTGCACTGCGCCGAACTTGCTGTGCTCAGAGAGCCTGTGCCCCTCATATGCCCAGGGCGTATCTACTTTCGATGATGGTGATTCTTCCTCTCCCAGCATCTCGAGTATGCCTTCTTGACAATGCTGAAGTCATCGGGGTGAATTCTTCCGATGAATAGCACCAAAGCATTGTGCTCAATTGTGGATGGCTTTGAGTAATTTACTCTGGACTCTTTCGCAAGAGTCTCCATTGGCTCAGTCATCTGTGCCCTCACGGGTTTGAAACCGAGCGCGGGCTCACTGTTTAGCGACTTTGCCTTTTTCCGTTCATCGTGGATGATGCCGTGCCTGTCGGGTTTTACACCCTTCTTGGTGCATGCCTTGCTTTCGTAGGTGAGAATAGGTCTATCAATGGGGTCAGTCTGCTGTTGTAAAATCCATATTTCGGGTGTTCAAGTGTTTCACGTACACGCAAGTACAATGCCCTTGATCATTGGCTATGACGATAAAACGCCGGAATCCAGTATGGACAAGTTCTCCAAGGTGTGACACGGACTCCTCGCGGCCTGATAGGCTGGGTATCTTTTTGCCTTTGGGCTCGCTCCAAAAGACTTTGAAAATCTTTGCTTAATGGTCAGTCACAACGTTCAATTTCCTCAACGTGCAAAACTAAGTTCGAGGCTTACCTCTCCGGCGCGGAATTTGCTCGAAGGTTGAACGGCATATCCTATAAAAATTTGTCAAAACATGATCGATAGGGTAGGGGTCGATGGGTAGACTGACGATTATCCAGGTACTCTGACTGGTAGGTATTTGGTTGCTCAGCGACAGCCGTATCCGCATCACTCTCTATGTGAGTACCGTACCCATACGACTGCCATTGCTGTTGCCGTTGCATATAGGCCGGGTCTGTTGTAACGGTGTTCCCGGTCTCTTCTGGCCCGCCATCATTCCACTCTAGACAAGTGTCAGTTGCGGTATTTTAATTTTTGGGTGAAACCCCCGTCAAAACCCACCAGTGTTCCCAGAAGCTTCTCCATATTGATATGCGCCGGTTTGGTAGCCGGTGGTCTGATAGCCGGCGCTCTGGTAGTCGGCAGCAGTCGTGTAGTCGGCGGTTGTGTAGTTGCTGGTCTGCTGATAGTCATGGCCTTGGTAATCGCCATAAGCATCTGCCGAAGCATCTGCAGACGGGTACGTTGACGCTTGTGTGTCGTCGGTCTGTCCATACTCCTGTCCGTAAGCCGCGTGTCCGTAGCCGGTCTGTCCATAGGCAGATTGGTCATCTTCAGACGTCAATTAGCTGGCTGCAAATCGGCCGGCGTAGGCAAATGGGAGTTGAAAGTCAAAATGTCACATACCAACAGTGTTGTATGCTTGGTAGGCCTGGCTTGCCGACTGATCATCGTCATGCGCTCGAGATTTTCCTTTATGCGACTTGCCCTTTCCCTTGCTTTTGCTCTTGGACTTGGACTCGGGTTCGGTGGTGTATTCTTCCTCTACTCCTGGAAGGTGGAATGAGTTAGTATGAACCAAACCCAGACACTTGATTAAGTCTTGTTCGCAAATTGATTGCAGGGGCCGGCGCTAGTTGCGCGCGGATATTTGTTGCGCATGGCGAGAAAAGAGAAGCGCCAACTTACCGACGCTTTCATCATGGGGGCTAAGCTGGACATTTGCCAAGCCCTGGGCCACCTGTGACACGGCATCTTCGTTCTCGGTTCGAGGAGTCTCATCATGGTACTGAGTCTGGGCGTCGCCTGCAAAGAAATAATAAGCCATCTGGAAGACAGGCGACGATGATATCGGATCAATGGGTTCTTGATAGGCAACCTACCTTTCTCATTCCAACGCGTGCGAATATAGGTCTGGTCGTGCTGACTCCACTGCCAATCCGTCCACTCGGTCCATCGATGTGAGTGCTTGCCCATGGCGGCGACAGCGCGCGATGAGTAAAGAGTAGGCAGGTGGTGAAGGGCAAAGCTCAGCCGAGGGGCGCAAGGCAAGGCAAGGCAACATTCAAGGAAAGTAGAATGGGAATAGGTCGAAAGTGGTCAGACGGAAAAATGGGGGAAAGAATGGAGAAGCCACAAAGTCTATAGCAGCAAAGCGTCAATTACCGGGGAGGGTCGAGGTGTGGGTTCCTGTGCTCTTTGTATGCAGGACAATTAGGAAGCTCAGAAGCTGCTTGTGATGCGGCTCTACGGGTGCGGGGCACGGGCGAGACGGGCAGACAAGAGGTAGGATTCGGTCCCAGGCTGGCAATGGCGCGCGAAGACACAGTACGGCTCGGGAGCTTGAAGGATGTACTGTGACCCGGCGCGAGGTCAATTGGAGTAGGATAGGACAGACGATCTGGCTGCTGAGAGGGCGCTGGTGGAGTGGTGTTGGGCTAGACCCCTCACCTGACGCTTTCGCGAACATGCCGTGCAGCGCTCGCCCAAACGGCTGCAGTGTAGTCGCTCGCGTCAGGGTACCCTCTCGATGTTGCAGCGGACCCAATCATGAGCTAGGCGGGTGCCGACGAGGGGTCGAGGTTGTGATTGGAGTGGGTGGGCGACTGGAGTCTCTGCAGGTATGAGGGTAGGGGTGTGGATGTGATGTGGATGTGGATGTGGGTGAGCACGAGTGTGTGAGCGCCTGTGTGTGGTGTGTGTAGTCTGGAGGCATGTAATATCTGCCGTATGCGCCAGGTTGCAGGAGGAGCAGCAGCTCAGGATGCATGTGGAGATAAGGACCAGAGGCTTTGTTTCCCCACGAGAAAACATCGAGTAGGGTTGGAGAGAAGGTGTGCAATGCTACCACCCGCGTGCTAGTAGGTAGTGCGGATGCCACCTCCCATCCACGAGGGTCGTTGGAACTGATGTCACGGCCCGTCGAGTGCTAAATGCCTGACCTGTGCGACCTGGCCTCGGGACATAAATCAGGATCGATCCTGGCACGCCCGCCAGACTGGTATAGGCAGCAGCTGTGTCTCTGGATGTCAGATGTCAGTCGCCTGGTTCTGGACTGGGCGGGCCGTCTTTCTTGGCTCCGTCGCCTGGCCTCAGACGATGGTCCGCCTCCAACGCAACGCCAGAGGTGGATGGAGTAGCTCCTACGGTAGCCGCTAAGGTCGGGTGTTTTGTTTTGCTCTCGCTAATCGTCCGCACGGGCATGGAGGCGTGCTGCGTTCTGCCTGATAAGACCGAAAATGTCGGAGAGGAGGTACTTGCTCCACGCCCAGGTAAGACATTGAAAAGCAAACATGGACGCAGCAAATGATGAGTCGATGGCTAGGATGGATGGCGTTGGCGTATCCAAAACTAGTCAAGCAGGCTTGCAGTTAAGTCGTGTCGGAGTATCGAGCACATCTCCAACCAACCCAATCGAGGTATGCTTGAAACCCGGCTTGCATGACACCGTCGCACAAGACTGCGGCCTCTTTTGAGATTCGTCCAAAACGGTCCACGCTTGCTGCCCAGGTCCATCGTCGGCCCCCTGGCAGTCTGCCCATTGGAACCGTCAGCATGCTGGTTTAGCCTCTTGAGGCAATCTAGCCACAGCAAGCCCGTCGTTTCCATGCTCGTCCACGTTGTGCGCTGCCGTGGCAGAAGGATATTTGAACAGCCGGCATGCACACTGCAGACAGGGAGGAGCCACATCACCTCCCCCTCTAGCCGACTAGGGGATGCAACAGGAGCCAGGGTGGCCATCCTACAGGGGGGCCAATGGCAAAAGTCGATTGACCCTCCCCGGAGCTGTCTACAACGTCGTTGCCTGCTGAGGACCGTGCAGTAGCAATGCTATAGGCAGGCGCTGCAATTAAAGACCAGAAGAGCTCTTGCTGAGGCTCTGCCGTGGGCTGGGGCTGACCATATCAGGGCTCATCAGGGCTTTCTGACCCAGGAAGCCATGTCGTGTTGGACAGGGAGGTCGTTGCTTGTGCCAGCCAGAATAGGGGGTTTCCATGACGTCCAAAGTAATTCCAATTAGGCCACACGCCATCGAAATAGTCATTCTAGCCGTCGCACCTTGCCCGCTCAGGTATGCGGGCCCGTACCCAGTACCTGCGCAATCAACTGTGCACACCAGACGCTCAACGAAAGTACCAGCCCCTCAACAGTATTTCGCATATGGATCGGCAGGTGGGCTCCATGTGCTCAGGTAAAGACTGGCTCATAGGCCACTGAAGCAGCTGCTTCGTGAGCAAGTGCTGGACCCGCTACCTCGCATCTCTCGTTCAGGGTACTGGTGAGTCGCCTGTACCACTGGGGCTACCTCTGGGGCGACCTAGCTCCCTGGCTAGTGATTAGAATGAGATTTACCCGTCGCTCCCGTCCCCCGTGTGTCATAGGCAGCAAGTACCCAGTACCAGCCCAGGTAGCAGCTACAAGAGCTCTTGCCTTAGTAAATTGAGGCGGCTCAGTCTTCATTGATTCATCCCTTCGCGTGCTTCCCAGTCGAGTCGCCCTGCTTCTTTATCTACCTGAATAACCCCATCGCACAAGCCAGAGGGCACCAACCACCTCGAGACCATCATCTTTGTACGGTCAGCTCCCAGCTCCTCGCTGCTTCTGCATCCGGACCCGTCCTTCGATGACGGACCAGCCTCTGACGCCGAGCCAAGAAGCACATCCAGCAATTCTTAGCGTGGTCCGTAAGCGATGGTTCCTAGGGCAATTTTCTCGAATGAAGCTACCACACCGTCGCGCTGAGCATTGAATTCTAGCCATATGGATGCTGTGGCGCTGGGAGCTTCGGGCACTTCCACCATCGCGCTCGTACGCTCTGCCGATGCTCCAGGCCATGAGCGCAGACTGCTCGAGATCCGTGGGCAATTTCCATGCCAGAGCACCGTGTCCATGAACCCAGGGCGGGCAGCGCAGGGCGAGCTACCAGGCCGCGTTCATTCCGCACGGCCAGACCATCTCGCCACGCACACTCAAGGGGCGGCGGCCATCTCTCGCGCCCCGGCTCTGCCCACTGCTGGCCCCCCTTCTCGCATCTTGTTTAACGATATATTCAAAGTAGCCCACCAACCTCCGGTTCCTTCAGATCTAATCCGGCTAGTCTACGAGGCGCCGAACGATCGACCCTCCGTAGTGGGGCTTCCTCTCCCCGTTCATGACCCTCCGAGTTCCCATGTCCCAAACCAAGCCGGACCAGGTGTGGACCCCAAGCTTGCCAACGCCCCCGACAACACGTTGAAATTGTTCTCTACCTCGACTCAGCTCCCTCCTATGAAGATTGTCCAACCGTCCATGACCTTTCCTCTGACAGACCCTTCCTTTGCCGGCAGCTCGTACGGTCTCGCTGAGTCGACTGGCAGCTTGAACCCTCATGTGCCCATGGGAGGCCCTCCCATGGTAGGGTTGAACCAGGCATCGTGGGCACGCATGGACGTGGATAGCTCGCACACGGGCTCATACGGATATTCAGGGACTTTCCAACAGCAAGACTCTTCATCCTCTTCAGACTGTTTGTCTCTGGAAGACGACCCGTTGATGGTTGAGAACTTGCATCGGTTCCCTCCCCGGATGCCAACTGCTCCACCGTTCGCCAGTAGATCTTCTGCCCGGAAAAAGATCCAATCCTGGGTCTCGGCTCACAAAATGGTAGGCACCCAAGAGCCAGGCCCTACCGACTCTCGAGACAACGCATCCTCTGAAGACGCGTCGTCAGAAGCATCGGACGGGTCATACGCAAGCTCCCAGATGGATTTCGAGGAGCAATGGCGCCTCCTAAACAAGAAGAGGAAACGAGTGTGGGATCTCAGAGCTATCATAGCCGAGAAGAGAAGGGGCATAAAACCACTGCGACAACAAATGACAAATGCTGATAACGCATTTATGAATGCCTTCCGTCCTTTCATGGTCGACAAAATAGCTCTACAGAATGAGGATGCATCCCAATACGACACAATGTTTGCAGAATTGCAGCGGCTTCGCACAGAGTTACAGGATCTCGAAATCAGCTGCGAGGAACTCGTTGATGAAGTTAGCCAGGAAGAAGAGCTGCTGCAACGGATAGAATTTCGCTTTTTCAGCCTTCTGGCCGGCGACGACGGTGAAATGAGTGACGGCTCTTCGTCTGAACACGACGACTCCCTCATCAATGATCTACCAGACGAGTTGCTCGGCATCTCTCCGGATAGGCCCTTGGAAGACTGTCATCCTCTCTTCTATCGGCTTACTTTGGCCGTGGCAAGCCTACATAGCGCTGAAGAAGAAGTCACCTCCTTGCAATCTATCAACAAATTCTGTGAGGACAAATGGATTGAGAGGAGTCGTGGACAAAAATTAGCGAGAGAAATGGCCGACTTTCTCGTCGAATACCCTACTTTGGTCAAGACCAAAAAGGCGGAGCTTGACGAGTGTCGCCAAGAGGTTAGTCGGCTTCGTGCCATGTGCGAGGAACAGCAAGCAATGGCCAAACATCTCCCAGTTCGCCTTGATCTTGCCCTTAATTCCGACGTGGATCCCGAAGACTTGGACCTTCCCGATGACGAAACAATACTGCGGGAATATAGGACAATGCCTCCATCAAGGTTTTCAGAGATCCTGTCTCAACCCGATCATTTACTTGCCTTGCCGGAGCCGCTCACCGCAGAAGCAGCAAAGAAGGCTGCGGATCAGTTACCGGATAACAATCCCGACAAAATGAGGAGGGTTCATCATGCTACGAAAGAGTTGGAAATTGAAAATTTATCACTATTTGGAGATGAAGAAGACGACAAGAATAACAACATCAACAGATGGCTACTGCATAATCTTAGATCGTCGCCTCTAGATGCCTCCTTGCTTCACTCTGTCTTTGTGACAACACAAGGGCTGCGTATCCTGGATCCGCAACGATGGCAACGCGATGTTCTCTACTACTGGTGGAGAGACAAGATCCCACGGATCACAAATTTTACCGAGACTTCAGCTAGGAGAAGCATAAGCCGAGCAGCATCGGAAGGGGTCCATGAGACACAGATCGGCTACATACAACGGAAGGCTTACAGCACAAGCTGAAAAAGGCCAGCCATTGGCCAACATTAACAACTAAACATTCGATTGGCTTCATGTTTTCGCATGGGGCTCACGGTATTCTTGCTCTTTTCAATGTTGATCTGGAATATTAAGATACCCAGGGTCGGCGTTTAGGGTTATTTATTACGGAGAAGTAAAACTGGGAATTGGGATTTTTTTCTACGGATTCTCTCGAAAGGAGATTGAGTAACCACAAGTTTCATGTTCATCCTTTGTTTATCAAGCGGAGCTGGAGGAGAGGGGATATTTAGAACACAGCATTCCTCCCCTCCAAGAGACACATATTGAGCAGCTGTCTCCCACGACGGAACCAGACCATTAGAATTTACGCTACTTTGTTTAATATTGATAATACATCTTCAATAGACTTGTTCCACTAAGAGTAGCACGTTTTGCGAGGTAACTAGGCTGGGGATGTACCCAGTACCCTTACGAACAGGGCTTTGGTAATAGTGAATATGTGGCGGCCGTGGCTTCAGCCATCAAGTCGGTCTGACGTTGCAACTACGAAGCACATCCATCCATGCTGACCGCATTACGCTTGAGGTGCTGCCCAATATTAGGCCACACCGACATGACTCCTTCGTGAAACGGTGCTACTGCGCGTCGGGGGGGCGAGATACCGCCCTCTATGCGCCCAGCAGCCATTGATAAGCAAGCCATTGGTCGTTTCGATGTGTCGGCAGTATGATTTCCAGCCTCTCAGGCGGTGACACCTGATGAGTCAAGGATAGATAGAGTCACGATTGCAGACGCGGGCGGGGGAGGGGAGGGGGGTACAGGGGGAAACACACAAAAAACCCGAGCAATAAGGCTGGGGAAATTGTTTGTTTTGTTTTCGTTTTCGCACTTCCAGAGGCGAATGTGACATGTCCCGCCGCGAAGGCGCTTCCGGGTGAGATGTGACGGCGTCCTGCTTACTCTGAGACGGGGCGCGATGCGATAGGAAGGATGTGATACTGGGCTGTCGTCATCCGCCGCTCACTGGGGGACAAAGCGGCTTCAATCTTCATCCTGGAGAAAGACCCAATATGCAGTTCATCGGACATCCAAGAAAAAAGGCAAATCTCAACCCACTCACACGTCGTGGGAATGGGATTCTGTGCACCCACACTGCTTCACCGAAGGTCCGTTTCGGTATTGTCTGTAATTACATTATCACCTCACTTAAGCATTGCAAAAAAAAGAAAATATAAAAGAGAAGGGAGGATGATACTACTATATCCCTCCCACACCCGACCGGGCGAGATCCCGATTCGCTCAGAGGAGTGCCCAGCTGATCTCGGGACCACGGGTACGACCAGCAAAATACTGAGCTGACACCAACCACCAACCACCACACACCTGATTTGCGGCTGAAGATCGGACAGTTGGCAAAGGACACACAAGCATTAAGATAATTTCCCATACAGTGTCCAGTGTGGTGTGGCCGGCCTCGCCCCGGACTTGCTACGCGCTGTCCCCATGAGCCCATCCAGCGCGGCCACACCCACGGCCCTCGACGCTGATTTAGTACCCAGTACCTTGACCCATCCAGCCCGTCTCACGCTCTGGAGGCACACCCCCCTCCTCCTCTCCCCCCCAGGCGTCCATCTCAGTTACACAGGGCTGGGAATCCCGATCCCCTGGACGCGGGTGAGTGGCCGCCAGCCCGATCGGTATGTGGTGTCGGCCTGTAGATGCACATGTGTCCAAGTACCACCAGCTGGCTGCGTATATTAGCACATGCACGCGTAGCATGCAATATAGAGGCATGCCCGGCGAAACAAGCCTGTCCTGGAGTCGCCGACATTGGCTACAGCATGTACCTTGAAATCGCCCCCAGTACATTGCATGAGGTACTCTACTTTGCCTCCTAGATGGTGCCGTGGGCTGTATGTCGATAGGTAACTGGTCCGGGAAAGTCCGTCAACATTCCCTCACTTGCTCTCATGGTAACATGCACCGTATAATCCCATCTATGCTAGATCATCGGCTGGCATTCACTCTGTCCCATAGATATTGGCGAAGATTCTGCAATCTCAGGGTATAATTAGGTATACTGAATTATAAGACTACTGCAGTACAGATACAGAGCAACGTCGAACTCGAAACAGAAACAATGCATCAACCGTTGGTGCAATGAAATCCTCAAGCACCCAACAGCTCAAGCCTCAAACGGGCGCAAGTTCCTCCACTGGACCACTCGCGTCTTCAACTCCCCCAAAGTCATGTAAAGCAACTCCACTTGCTATGCCTCTTAGCTATCCATTTTCTCGAGTCTGTGGGCTTCTCGGTTATGCTGTTTACCACCTGGGGAGGTCGTGCTGGCGTCTTTGGCCTGGTGGCTTCTTTGCTCTTTCGTGCTGCATTGGCTCTTTTGTCTGACGAGAATTTGTCCATACTCCTCCGAGCATCCATCGCGAGGCTCTCGATGCTCCGCCGAGGAGGGTGTCTCTTGGCGGACTCTGCCGAGCATGACGTTCCTGATCCATGATGGGCCACTTTGTGTCTTCTTATCCTCCTCTGATACTCTACAGAGGAACGTTTTGCCCGTTCCACTTTCATAGTATCAGTAGAACCCCGGCGAGAGTGGTATGGGTAGTTAGGTTGTAGCTGAGGATATGTCAACCCTGATGACATGCTTGGACGGGGTGGGACTGCTGAAGCGAGTGATGTGTGTCTGGATCCTTGCCTAGACCCCTTCATACTGGATAAATCTCTAGTTTTGGAAGGGTTCCGTTTAGGTGGGCGTGGCGACGGCCGCGGTTGAGAAGTATATATCTGGTCCAAGTCACTCCGTCCCAGGCCCCTGCATGGGAAATTGCCAATGTAGTCAACCATCCTTGTTTATATGCTGCTTTGGTGTTCTGTTTCGTTTGACCACGTGGGGTGTAAATAGGGGCGATCTAGCAGGCTTTCAACCAGTCCGTTCTTGAAGCAATTGCCGAAACCGCGTGAAAGATACGTTCTATATGCCCAGTTATTTATACTGTGAGGGGCAAGCGTGCAATGGCTTGATTATTGCGGATAGAGGTGCTGGGTTTGAGAAGACAGATAAATGATACCAGATCTGGGTTTCAAGACCAAAGTTGATGGCAGAAGGGAGGTAGGTAGGTGGGCGGGATGAAGTGTCGAGTCAGAGTTTCTGAGATTCAAAACAAGGAAGAGGCTTGACTAGTGGTGTCATCGCAGAAGATCAACCGCTCCTTCCAGATATTTCTATTTCATAGGTAGGTAAGTGTAGAAGGAGCTCGCCAGGATCTGCCTCCCTTACTAGGTACCTTAGTAGGTATGGTAAGGACGATGGATACGAAAGGTATAACTCCATCTCGCAAGACGTAGGTACTTCTTGCCAATTTATCAATATCGCTATATTTTCTTCTCACTTGTTTCCGCAAAGATTATGGGAAATATTCGTCATTCATTACTTCATCAGCTAGAAACTCAGATGCCAACTCGTATCTCTCAGTTGGCCTTGTCCTCATTCCGGCATCGCATTAGGCGTGATCCATACCCGTAAATATCTTTCGTCTCTGACCTGGATGAGATCTTGAACACCATTATAAACAAAAGAAAGAGAAAAATAAAAAGAAATATTAAGGTCAAACCCCCTTCACGGCTTCGATTGTGTGACACTCCCAGATTGTTCCGAATTCAAGGCACTCGGTGACGCAGGCAGAGTCTTCCCACCAGGATTTTCCTTCGGTTAGAAAAGGACCCCATATCTGTCTCCAGAGCTCACGGCCCAGGTAGCTCCTAATCTCCGCTTTGACCATCTTCTTAGATTCCGAAAACTCTTGCAGGGTCTTCGGGTCCATTGTCTCAGTGCTCTGGTGAGTGACACTTGCTGGAACAGCGAAAAACTTGGTCACCGTTCGGGTACTGCCTCTACCACGTAAACCTGCATCACCAAGCCATTCTGGAAATAGTTTGCAAGGGCTTGTGCATCTAAAGCTCCTTTCTAAATTTGAAAGAAGGTGGCCTCTAAGCCAGGCCCTCATGTGCGGGCCAACAGTGCCTGCCCTTGGCATTGGGTTGACTAATATTAGGCGGAGAGCAGCGCCTGGCTTGAGACTTTTGCTGATTCCACTCAGAAGATCAGGAATTCCAGCTGCAGGGCACATTGCAGGCATGGTAAACGAAAATGCAGCGTCATAGTTGCACTCTCCACGGAATTTGAGAGGAGTGGGTGTGTTTATATGGATTGGTCGCACATTTGGCGCAAGCTCAGTTGATAGCGGCATTGGAGACACATGGTAGAACTTCTTTGTCGGGTATACAGCAGAGAGGAACATCGTTGTTTCTATTGTACGTAGTGTTAGTTTGGGAGGTAATCCATTAAATTCGATTTCGATGTCGCTCACCTTGTGAGTCATAGAGCTCCAGACAATTTGAAGCACCACTCATAGGGATAACCACTGGAGACTGGGAGGTGTTTGGAATAGTTGGTGCTTGGTCAAGATGATCAAGTGACCACAACATCCAACGACTGATTGGTGGGCCTGGAGCTTCGTTGCCTTCCGCATCAGGGAATGGCTTTCCGGGAGACTGAAGTCTAAGCAGGATGGTATCAAGCGGCTGCGCGGACATCCATTTTATTTCTTGTTTGCACTCATCCAGGCTGGGAAGGTTTTCGGCCTCCTTGATTAAAGGGATAGCGACTGCCGCACTATTTTGTGTGACTTTCAACAATGGAGTTACATTCTGAACTCCGATTGCGTTCCAATTGTCGGGATCATGAATTTTGAGCTTGGGAGATGTCTTCGACGGAACCAGTGGATCAGGGATGAGCGCGCCATCATGAGTTGGATGGCCGTTTCGAGCGTGTGCGTTTCTAGATTTGTGAGCATCAGGTTGGGCCAGATTCATGACCGACTTACAATTCCAATGATGACTTCGCGGAATGTGAATTCCCATAGACTCCCCGGCTATAATTAACTGAATGCGAGGCTCTCCTTGGCTGACCTGGCTGGGCTTGTGCCTGGCCAGAGGCCACTGCATGACTTGAAGACTTCCGGCGGGGGAAAATAGTGATCTTGCTTCGCTCGTATTCCTTCGATGAACAGTCGCGCACAGATTCGGAAGTTCCTTGGTCGCTCTCTGGATACTTTGAAAATACGGAGTCTATTCAAGGTTGTGGTTAGCGCGATTCTCTAACTGGATTTCAAAGTAATGTACCATGCTGAGAACTTCTGGGCGAAGCCAAATCATCGCCTCTTCCGAACGAACGAAGTTCGCCAGGATGTGAAGAAGTTGACGGTCGCTCCACAGAGGTAGATGGTCGACCGGCGGCGAAACTAGGACGACTTGGGATGTCAAAAGTGGGAGACAGCGGCGATTGAGTAGATGAAAAAGTGGGCGATGCCAGCCACGAGGACGAGATCGATGGTGTTGCTGATCCAGTTTCCGACGTATTCACTCGCTTAAGGTTCTGTGGTCGCAGAAAGGAGAAGGGAGAGTCGCCTGAGGAAAAGGAGCTACTTTTCGTAGACACAGATCTCCGTTTGTCCAACTTCTCCTGCTTCTTCTTCCTCTCCTTTCTTGCTCGATGCTCTCCAACAAGCTCACGGTTTGGATCGGTCCAAAATACGTCCCACATGGCGAAATTCGCTGCTGCTTCTGTAGCAGGGTCGAGGATTGAGATTCAAAGTAGAGTAGAAAGGAAAAGTAATAGTCGTCTCGTGTCTGGGCCTGTCAGGGATAGCCTTCTCAAGGAAGGGGTGGATGGAAGCTTGGGTGGACAATGCGTTCAAAGAAAAAGAAAAGAGAGGGAAAAGTTCTCGAGGTGGTTGGTAGAGAAAGAAAAGGGAAAGGAGCGAAGGAAACTATGGAAGGAAGAAGAAAAGTAATGTAGAATGGGTGGCAATTGGGGAGGCATCCCACTGCAGAAGAAGAAAAGAAGAAGTGAGAACAGAGTGAGGCACGCCTGAAGGGCAATGGCTGGCGCAAGGTGATAAAAGAAAAGAGAATGCAGGTGGCAGAGAATGACTATGCGCATAAACCAGGTCGCGGGGGAAGTTGACCAGCGACGAGATGGACCCTCCGGAGAAGAAGGAAATGCAAATGCAGAATGCACAAGTCAAATGCGGTGGCCGTGCCTGCCACTCAGGTGATATTGGTAGGCGAGATCAAGCAGGTACAACCGTGAATCGGCTTCCTTCCATTGTCCCAGGTCACGCAGAGAGGCAGGACTAGATGGGAGAGAAAAGAACCTGGAGAATACTTCACCATACCTGGAACTACCTTACCCAGAGACGGGACCGATCTGCTGGCTGCGGCTCACACGCATCGTCACCCTGGCCTCACCTGGCTCAAGGTCACCAACACCCGACCCCAAGACCGAGCTCGCGGATCAGCGCGGCCTGCCCCATCGCACTGCATCCCGTCTATGTGCTCGCTCGCTGCCATGTCACCACCCGGGATGGCAAGCGGGTGGGAAGCTGGCGAAGCACATAACTGGCAATGGGGCCATCCCCACGGCCTACGTACCATGGCAGTGCGTACATACCTAGGTACGGTGCGGCGGACGGTCGAGCGCATCGCCGACTCGACTTGCCGACACTAAGGCAGCGTGGCGCTGGATCAGTCCTGACTCGACTCCAGGTCCCCAGTCACCTTCGAGATGATCTACCCGCCCCGACGGATTCCATGGGTACAGCCGATGGCTAAGAAACTTCTCCAGCGCCTCCGCGGTTCTGAAACACCCCAACCGAGGCGCTAAATAACTCTAGCGCACAGTCTGCTGAAGATATCACCTCCTTTGCATTGATGGGCCGCTTGCTGGCCACAGTCGTCAATGCCCCATGCATGCAGGAAGTACAACCTAATACTATGTACTTACAGATGGAGACGGCCTAGTTCCCACATGCCCTGGAATACGGATTCGAACCCGTGCCGCGAAGCCGCCATCAGAATCCCGTTGCTGAAACACGATATATGATTCACCACCAGGGTTCAGGGCAACATGGTCCTAAACAATGTTCCGACGCAGCTCCTATTCAGGCAAAGAAGTCTGGAAGGGTTTGGTCTTTAACCCCTTGCTTGGTTGCAACGGTTATTATGGAGAAGACAGCAAGGCCAATAGCATCAACTCAGATGGAGTATAGAGAGGCTGCATTAATTAAATTAAGCGCCGTCACTAAGGCCCTCGTTTCCGAATGACAAACAAGTTGATTCCATTCTGCTTCAGTCTGGCTCCAGGACCCTGCGAGCTCTTGGAAAGGCTCATGAGTTGCACCAATCAGGATACACAAGCACATGGGGTTGCCTGTGCTACGTACTCCAGAAATCCAATACCAAAAGTGACAGATGACAGAACCCAGAACTCCTTTTCAGTCTAGAATCAAATCTCTTTACACCTCCTGGCCCAGAGTAGCCAATAGACCCATCTGATCAGGCGTGTGGTCCGCCTCTGACTTTGCCTCGACCGTCACGCGAAGCTCAAGACAGCAAATCCATTGGCTAGGGGACCGATTTCGTTTTCTCTTGACTCAGCGCCACGTTGTCGGCTAGTCTTGCCCGCCATATCAATGGAAAGCAAGGACTCCTACGAGATAGGTGCAATATGATGCGAGCCAAAGTTCGGGACAGATTGGACGTCGGAACCCTTTGGTTCTCAAATTGACACCATCCCTCACGGAACAGAAAATGGTACAAAGTACCTATATTACAGAGGTGGCGTAAAATTGAAAGACATTTTCTCTTGAAGAAATTCCAGCACTGTCTCTCTCGGCACCGTCACACTGGCTGGGTTTTTTACCGTCGTAATCGACGAGCCAAGGCCGCATGTTGTGATTGCCTACATGCAAGAAGCCAATAGATCGAACTGAACCAAGCAGATGCTGGCCCCAATTTGAGCCGCTCCCACCCATAATGATGCAGAACTCAGGAGGTGGCTAACTGTGGATTGAAGAATAGCTATGGAAATCTCACACTACCAGAATTATCTGTGGCTACCTGACGCTATTCGTCTCCCAACTTCCCAAGGATGCCAGCCATTCTTGGTCGAGCATGTCCAATACGTTCTATTTATATTATCAATAGATAGCACAAGATATGCTACGGCTAGCACCAAAAGGCAATGGGCCCAAAGGGCCTCGAACAAGAAGCAGTTCAGTCACAACAGCATGTCTCATAAATATAGTTTCCAGCCATGAGCACATGTAATCCACACGACTTGTATCATTTTTCAATGTCTTGGACAATCAGTTGATGCCAGTTACACAAGCACCCGTCAGTTTGCCATGCCAAACCAGGTGGCCAATGAAGAACTCCAGCTCACAAGACGTAACTGAAAGCCAGTGAGAATAATCAATCAGAACCGGGCCTTCTTTTCTTTCTTTTCATGATTTCCACCTTTCATAATGGATTTTTTTTTTTGCAGATGTTGCCATCATGGATTTGCCCACCAAGACTCACAAGCACACTTGTTGGGCTGTCTTTGCTATCCCGATGAAGCCAGATGAGGCGAAATGGACGAACCAATCCAACTTCACCGGGCCGAATGAGACAGGTTTCTCGACTTCCGACCCTCTATTGGTCCCAGTAATACCTACCTGTTCCCATGTTCTGAGAAAAGGGTGCGCCAGGGTGGCGGTAGTCACACGAATGAAGCTGGCCAAAGACCTTCGGAGATGACAGAGAGACGGAGATATTTCCTATTCTTGTGGGGACGTCAAACTGCACCATTGGCCTCGAATGGGACTTGCATGTGTGGTTAGTTTCCATCTTGTACCATCGTGAGACTCGCTTGCGATCTCTGTTACTCGACTTGTATCGAGTCGCACCGCTGAACAGCACATGGTGCTCACGGGAATTGACGGGCTTCGTGGATCTTTGAAGAGAATACCGGGCTTTGGTTCATCCTGTCGTTACTTGCGGAAAGGAAAACATGTCGAAAAGGGCCGGCGGTTACACATTTCCAGACAACGGGGAGCCTGCGGACTCGAGTTGATACAGTGCACCCTTCTGGTCATTTCTCTGGACCAAGCTTCCCCAGCAGGAGGTTGGGCCTAAAGTTGTCTGATCTTCAGCAGACTAGTTGGCTCTGTCCATTGTGCCTAAGTACCTAGTAGGCAGGCTTCCCCGCGTAACTGGCATTGTTTTGGCTTGCCAGTCGGCGCCGGCTGTGGGCTGCAGACAATCCACCTTCTCACACTCTTCTCACTTTCTTCTCAACAGATTTCGAACTCACCCACAGTGGAGTGCCTTCGTATCCTAGAATTCTTTCGTTTGCCTTCCCCATCTTCTTTCTATCATCCCTCCTCTTCTCTATCCTCTACTCCGTACTTCGACCTGGTATCATCACGGTAGTAGTTGCTCTACGACAGGTCACTTGCTCCTTTTCAATCCCACTGCTATCAATGTTTTCAGTTGGCCAGCTCGCCAGAATTCAGTCAATGGGTAGCAGTCGCCGGGCCTCTCGGGCCTCTTCCACCCCGAGTCGGGATGTGGTAGGGGGGCGATCCAAATACTTTGGCTTCAGGGACTTTCTCGATTATGCGGATGAGTGGCTCACCAACTCGCGGCTCGGAAGGCTATTTCACCTCGAGGGAACAGGGAAGGTAAAAGAAAATAATATCCCCTCTACTTCTTCTCGCGTTTCAGCCGCCATTAACCAAAGCGTTTCTTAGAACCCCGAGAAATCACGCTCTACCTTCTTCAGGGAAATTAGGGCCGGTCTGACCACGTTCGCGACGATGGCTTATATTATTGCCGTCAACGTAAGCTCCAGTCTCGAATCGCCGCTTTGTCTACTGAGTTCCGGATCTGATGATTCTTAGGCGTCCTTGCTGTCTCAAACCGGCGGCACATGTGAATGTGCTCTGGAGAACAAGCTGAACTGCGATACAATTCCTAAATATGTTTCCTGCAAGGAAGGCAAGCATAATTCCCCAAGCTTAGGAAACGATGAAGAACCTATCTGACAAAGACTCAGAGGTCCGTAGAGACCTCGTCACCGCAACAGCCGCTATCGCCGGCATGGCAACAATCACCTTCGGGATCGTCGCGAACTTACCTGTCGCCATTGCGTACGTGGGCTCTTCCCAGATTCGATCTTTCCTGAGAGGAATTCTATTTTCATAGGGGTATCATCCAAGCTGACTCTCTTCATTAGCCCCGGAATGGGCCTCAACGCATACTTCACATTCCAAGTCGTCGGTGCAAATGGCAGTGGCATTGTTCCCTATCGGACTGCCTTGACTGCCATATTCATGGAGGGAATCATCTTCATCATCCTTGCACTTACCGGAATGCGGCAGTGGCTCGTGAAGCTCATTCCATCGACTCTCAAGACTGCGACTGGCGTCGGTATCGGTTTGTTCTTGACAGAGATTGGCCTATCCTATTCAGCAGGAATCGGAGCCATCACGGGCGGTTGGATCTCGACTCCGCTTACACTTGGCGGATGCCCTATGGAGCTCATCAACTACAAGACGGGCATGTGTGAAAGCGGCAAGATGTCCAATCCAACGGTGGGTCGAAAACCCGGTCTTCCTTCTTCACATTTGCTTCTCCAGCGACTGACATCGGAGCAGCTTTGGGTGGGAATCTTCTGCGGAGGCATGGTCGCGGCCGTCCTGATGGCATTCCGCATCAACTATAGCCTCATCATCGGAATGTCTCTCGTCTCTATTCTCTCATGGCCGTATGTCCAACTTCCAGACCACATTGATCACCACTTACTCACCCGTTCCCCTCAGGCGTAACACATCCATCACATACTTCCCTGACAATGACGACGGCAACTCTCGCTTCGAGTTCTTCAAACAGGTCGTCGTGTGGCAGCCGATGACCAGGACTCTCAACCAGCTCGATTGGACCTTTGAAGGAGTTAACACCTCGCAATTCATCCTCGCCCTGTTCACCTTCCTCTACGTCGACATCATCGATGCCACCGCCACTCTATACTCCATGGTCCGCTTCTGCGGCGTCGTTGACGAGAAGACCGACGACTTCCCAAGGTCAACTCTGGCCTATTGCACCGACGCCGCCTTCATCTCCATCGGCGCACTGCTGGGCTCTTCGCCCAGCACAGTGTTCATGGAGAGTAGCTCCGGCATCTCAGAAGGAGGACGCACCGGTCTGGCAGCCATCGTCACCGGGCTATGCTTCATCATATCCATCTTCTTCGCGCCCATCTTCGCATCTGTCCCTCCCTGGGCCACGGGTTGCACACTCATCTTGGTAAGCCCCCTCCCTTTCCCATCCCAATATCTGCCCCATGCGATATCTCAGCTAACCCACCCAGGTTGGATGCATGATGTGTCGACAAATCGTAGCTATAAATTGGCGCTATATCGGCGACATCGTTCCATCCTTCGTTGTCCTGACCTTCATCCCGTTCAGTTACAGTGTTGCCTACGGCCTCATCGCGTAAGCCCATTCCCCCCCAAGTAACTCCACGATTCCAGAGTGCTAACCACCATCCAAACAGCGGTATCTTCGTCTACACAGTTCTCAACAGCCTCATTTTCCTCATCGTGTACCTTTCAGGGAACGAGCTCAAGCCTCGTGAGCACGACATGAAAGAATACTGGTCCTGGAAGACCACCGGCAAGGCCCCGTGGTTCCTACGCATCTACCGCCGCGCCCGCTACGGCGCGGATTACTGCGAGGAGCAGGAGGCGGACGAGGAGCCCGTCGTCGGTCCCATCTCCATGCTCGAGTCCACGGGTGAATCCTCGTCCAAGGATGACGGCAGCCATCATCATGGCGTCGCGCGGCCCGCGAAGGTCCACTCCTCGCCGCCCATCGGTAGCAGAGAGATGTTTTGAAAAAAACAACTCGAAATCTTGGCCGTCATTGTGACGATGCCTTGAAGTGTATGGTGGAAGATGAGATGGGGTATGTATGGTCGGAATCTGCAATGCTGTAGCGACCTAGAGAAACGTAACACGACATTATGTAGCACCAAGAAAGGAATCTCAGGTAAGGAGACCTCCAGAGTGTCAATTTAAAGACAAGAAAGAGTATTTCCCTAGGGAATTGAAGGCACAGTTAAAGCCTAAGTAGTTAGTACTAGGTAGTTTGTTAGTATAATCAAATGAAAATCAAAGCAACGAGTTCCCATTGCTCATGGCCCCATTTCAAGTGTAAGCTCTGGCCATATCATACGCCCTGGCTTTCCAGAATCTCTTCCCATTTATCACATCAATTTCCGAAAGCCAACGCCTCTTCTCCCAATAAGAAACTTGGGTATATTCTCTCCCTTATTTGCTTTCATATCTGAGCTTCCTATCCCCCCATTTCCACGTCCCCATCGCCAGCTCTCCTTGCCTTCTCGGCAGCTTTGCGCCTCTCCAAACTCTCCTTCACCCACTTGTCATACCCTTCCTCACCACCCTCTTTCAACTTCTCCTCCACAACAGCCTTGACCACCTCGCCAGCAAATCCGACAAAGTTGTGTCGACGAAGTGCGTTTTCAAACAGCCAGTCCTTTCGCTTGCGCTCCTCCCTTGCCAACAACTCGTCATCGCCAAACTCCCTCGCCCGAGCTCGCAGATCGCGGCACATGGCAAGCAGGTTGAACCGAATCTCGGTCGCATCGTAGCGCGCAATGCGACGCTGCAGAACATCCACCACGCGGGTGGGGAACTCCTCGGGCGTGCAGGCACCGTGGGAGATGGGCGCGGGCTGGAGGCCGTCGAGCTCGTAGAGCACGCCGTTGACGGGCGTGTACGCGATGAAGTGGAAGACGTCCTCGGTCTCGGAGGAGCGCTGCTGCGTCTCGTCGGCGAAGGGGACGCTGCGGGCGAAGCTGTTGTGCACCTCGCGGATGAGGTCCGAGTTGCTGAGGGCCTCGCCGCGGAACTCGGGGGGGAGCTCGATGGTGAACTCGCGGAAGTCGCTGAGGTGGGAGCCGATCTCGACGTCCTGCTGCTTGTTCATGAGGACGCTGAGGAGGGCCTGGGTGGCGCATGCGTTTTGTATAGTTTGGGCAGCGAAGAAGATTGACTGGGAGGCATCGTGGTCGAAGGTACCGTCCTGCGGTCCCGTCGCAGAGGAATACGGCTGGTCGGTTGGGTATTTGAAGAGGAAGATGACGCCGTAGAGGGGTTGTAAAGTGGCTAGCTCGGAAGGGTCGAGGGTCAGGAGCTCTTCAAACTGGACATCCTTTACGCCCAGGTTCTCGATAAGTGAGGTGAAGACACCCTAACCGTTGTTTGTCAGCCGAACCACATTCTACCTAGACGAAAATTCTCAAGAGGGAGCATCCTACTGCATCGGATTCGACTGTTGTGGGGGAAACGATGATTCAATGGTCAGCACGAGGTCGAAAGAACTTGCGATGGCGGATAGCTCACTGGTGTTCCAGCCACCACTCATGACGAAAGGCAGATTTGTCCAACTATTACAATAAACTCAGGTGAAAGATGGTAAATTAAAGATGGGAGTGCGACGTCTTTTTCTACGTGGCAGGATTTCCCATGCGCCTCTGCAAGCTAAGAAGGAATGATGCGGCCGTTGAATATCTCTAGAGGTTGCGTATGCTGCTGGTAGATGATGTCGAGGTGGGTATCTGGCCGAATATCCAAAAGTAGAAGCTTCGACTGGAGCTTGTGAACTGTGGCTCGCGTGCGTGGCGTTCGTGCCTAGCTCCACTCTTTTTCTACCTACCTTAGGTACTATCTGATATCCTTACGAACCACGATCCCGAAGAGACCGTCCTGCTTCATTCATGCAACCTTAGTGACCTGTGAAATATCACATTGCATTGCTGGCTGCATAAGTTTGGCAATTTTAGTGAATTGCTTCATGTGTGAGGTGACTATCTGGTTTCTCTATGAACAAGTCGATCAATGCCATCTCTATAAGCTCGACTAAGAAAACAATCACAACCAGTATATTGGGATGTTCCATGCAACAACGAGAGCCTTTGCGAAATCAAAACGCCTTCAAACTCCATACAACACTGATACACGTGCTCTAAAGCCCTTTTTTTATTCTCCCTCTGTCCCTCTCCCCCGCTCCAGGCATTATTCATACCCACTCATGAGTTCATCACTACGCCCAATTCGCTAGATTGCAACAAGCTCAGGCAGGCCGCCTGGATTCCCACCCTGGTTTGCCCGTAGATCCTCGACTCCATGGTTATCTTGTGCAGGCTGGTTTTCTTGCGTATCTGGGCTGATCTCATTGCTGCCCTCTGCGTTGGCCGCGGCTTGTCTAGCTGCCTCGGCGGCTGCCTCAGCGGCTGCAGCTTCTGCTTCCCTTCGTTGCCGCTCGGCCCGCGCCTCGGCTTCGAGATTTGCAATGTGTCTTTCAGCTACCCCAGGAGCTATACTGGCCAAGAACAAGAGACTTGCTCGTTCAATCCGGCGTATTTGGCTTTGAAGCCATGTTTCCCGTTCCCGTTGTTGAGCCACCAAACGAGCAGCCAATTGTGCCGGGTTGTGGTCTGCGTTCTGCCCTCCGTCCGCTGCGACACCATTCTGACCGAGAGCTCCCGCTCGAACGTCGACCTGGGGATCGAGTCGGGGTAGCATATTCTCGAGCTGCTGGGCAAGTGGTCTCCACAGAAGTTCGGCAATGTTGTTCAACGCGCCAACGCTGAGAATAAAGATCAACACCGCAATTCCAATGACTGAGAACCATCTAGACCAGCTTGCAGTGGGTGACGTAAAGAACCAAACAAATACAGCCAAACGAAAGGCCAGCCAAATATGCGGCCAGGCTTGCACGAGAAGTGGGGGTAGCCCTCCCACTTGCGCGTTGTTGGCTTGCGCATTGGCATTTCCTTCTGCAGGAGGCTGATCTTGGTTTTGGGCCGGATTAGCTGGCGGTTGGTCCCTGAGGGCATTCTGATGTTGCGTCTCGACATTAGGGGGAAGAGAGCTTTCTGTCGCGCCGACCTCAGGATGTACCAGATGTCTTAGTCGGTGATAACTATTTTGGGTGGGTAAACGGGGAGAGTAATATGTTTCTGAATTACTGTTGTTAACAAGAAGGGCTCGGGGCCCTTCTGGGGAGGATAAAACGTAAACGTCGTATCCTCCTCGGGAAGGAGTTGTAGATGATCCCAGACCAACAGGTTGTTGGCCTCCGCTAACGGATCTCGCGGTTGGCTCTGGTGTAGCCCTGCCGCTACCAGCTCTCGAATCCGGGTGAGGGTAGCCAGAGTTAGTCACCGTCGGTTGCATGAACCGGCTGTGCAGCGAGACATTCGAAGCACTCCTCTGCATTGCGTTGGTCATGGTAGCCGTAGCTTGGTAAATGTCGCCCTGACGCAAGAGGTTCTGTACGTCGGCAGGTGACAAAGCTCCATTCTGCCCATTTGCAGCCGCATTCGATCCCCGAATGATAGTCTCGACCTGGAACGTCTGTCCATTTGGCCCGATGTGTTCTCGATAGTAGTGTCCCAGCGCGGGACTGGCCCTGCCGCTGTTCGTGTCATGGCCATGATGAACCCCATCTCCAATCCCACGCATTCCTACATTGGCCCTATTCCTTTGGTTCTGATTGATGAGGGCTCTGGTGAGAGCTTCCCGCTGTACTTGGCCAATCCATGTCGACAAGTTCTGGTGCTGGTTATTGTGTTGCTGGTGAGGAAACGGCATGCTCGGGTCGAGGGTATGAGGTGTAGGGAGAGTTGGTGGGAGATTTGGTGCAAGAGTTGCGGCTGGAGAATGCGATGGAAACTGGCCTGGAGTTGGCTGTGTTGGATTTCTTCGTGGGAACCCAGGTGGTGGCTGTGGCCCGAAAGGAATACCGTGGGAGTGTCGTTGAGGGTTGGCAGGCGCGGGCGAGGAAGTGGTTGGGCTCGGACCGCCGGTAGGAGTTGGTGTTGATGAAAAATGGGCGTTCGGGGCGTCTCTAACGACCAGGTGCATAGTCTGCTGTTCTAGAGACCGAATCTGTCAAGATTATACGAGGTTAGAACACATATGTCAGCCATGACGGCGTTTGAATCCATTCAACTCACAGCATCTTCCCCCAGCACATCGGACAGAGTATCAGTTTCGCGAACAAGAGCTCGCCCACGGTGAATAAGACGTTGGTGGTCGTCGGGGGGGCGAAGTGGCAGTGATGATCGGATCCGTTCCTTCAACTCTTTGATAGTTGTTGACGCTGCAAGCTCCGGAAAGTGCAACGGGCGGCCAACGCTGAGAGATGGCGACACAATCTGGAGGTTGACGGTGAGCTTTTCTTCGTCGTCGGTCGCGGGGTTGCCATTCGAAGGCAGGAGGTGAGAGGTGTCGGAAGTCATTTTCACAATGATTGTGGAAAGCTGTCAGACAGCTAGACGACGTGGAAACCCAATCGAGGTGGAAGTAAATGTCGAGTAGATCAAAGCACAAGCATTAGGATCTCTGGAGCGAGCGTCCAAGTGGCACGAAGTCAAGCATAGGACCCCAAGACCACGAGGCAGGCGAAGAATGCCGGGATCGAGAGAAAAGCAGTAGACTGAATCGCGATTCCCGGGAGCAGTGAGGTTGGCAGAGCCAGGTTCAGCGCATGGCAGGCGACTGATCTTGGGCTGCGTAGGTCCAGTTGGTCGCAAGAGGCGCAAGGCAGGGGTTGTCGGAGAAAGACAGCAGAATGATATGTTAGGTCAGGATCTTGGACGGGGAGCACGCATGCGACAGTGCTCGTTGGTGGCACTTAACAAGTTGGAAGTTGCACACACGCACGCACGGGGGACTGTCAACACTTAGTGTTAGGTGTGCCTCCCTAAGCTGGGGGAGATGACAGCAAGTTCCACGGTGGCATCCACGGCCGTGGTACGTACCTGCATTAAGCTGCCTCAATCTGGCAAGGCGGAGCCTCCAGAGTCGTTGATTCGTTTATGCTCTACACAGACGGCCTACCCTACAATGCATGCGTGCATAGATTCTGCGGCATGAAATCATCAAATCTCGGGACCGTCTGGGGCATAAGGCAGTGTTGATTGTACTGGAGAAGGCCACTTCCCCGTTCTCCAAGCTTACGGATCTGACCTCGATGCTTCGTGTTGCCACACCTCATCAGGTGTTCATTGGAGGTTGTGTGCCTCGGCCACAGTGCCTAGCAGATTAGTGGTGTGACCGCCTTTCCAGATAACGACTAATTCAGGGCTCATCTCATGGCAAAGTAAATAAACCATATGATCGGGACAATCAATTGCCAATGCTCAATTGGAGGCTCCTTCTTACGACTGAGTTCAGTGTATACCAACCATCTAGAGGAATCTGAAGAGTACAAACACGAGCCATCCTATCGAGGCTCATGGGCAAGGCGAGTGACATCCCTACAGGCAGGTAAATCCAGGATCAAAAGGGGGTGAACGGGTAGACAATCGGTCCCACCGAAAGACCCGAATGCACCTGTTACTATTCCTCTCAGAAGAAATGGCCTGTCAATGCACCATATTTCAATCTTTTTAATAGCGAGCGAGACCTCCCGTTGAAAGAGAGGTCAGGCCGTATCATGATTGTTCGGGGTTGGCCAAATCCAATCCCCCAATTAAACTCGAATACCCTGGAGACCGTTGGAGAAGCTGCCGCACCTCCCTCAGCATGGAAATTTTAGCTTCACAACCGATCGGATCGGCTTTGCGTCATCGACGTTCCAACGGCCCCGAATCTTGTCACACAAGTAAATCCGACACTCCATCCAACATTTTGTCACCAACCAGCCCGACCAGCCAGCCCTCAGGCTGTCCTGATCGCATAATGGCGACTCTCGGGGGCTTCGGCCTGTTCGCGAGAGCAAACCACACGGCAGGTCTACGCGCCGGACACGCAAGCCATCCTCTTTTTCATATGCAGCTCGTCGCGCGAGCCCTCCCGAAGCCAAATGCTCAGCGTCTTCATGTGCCCGCGCCGCGGCTTTTCTCATCCAGCAGTGGAAAACGGCCTAGGAGCAGCAGGGTCACATGGTTTCATATTCCAGTAAGCCTTGGAATTGGATTCCTCGGCCTCATCCAATTCTACAAGGTCACCTCGAGAGAGAAGCAGAAAGAATTGGAAGGAGGTGAGGCCGCTCCAAAGAAACGACCGAGAGTCCGGCTTGAAGGTCCTTGGTAAGTTCGCCGCGAACCCCCGCAATTGCCCCGGTGAGCTCCAGGATCATGCGATTGACACCGAATTCTTATAGGCAAGTTCAAATCATGTCGACTCTTCCGCTCAAGGCGATGTCGCGACTCTGGGGTCGCTTCAACGAGCTCACCATCCCCTACTATCTTCGTGTTCCCGGGTTCAAGCTCTACAGCTACATCTTTGGTGTCAAGTAAGCCATTGCCCATATTGGACCCTCGTTGTGAGGAATTGCTCCAGTCTAACATGAGAAATAGCCTGGACGAAGTTGCCGAACCCGACTTGCATACCTACCCGAATCTTGCTGCCTTCTTCTACCGAAAACTGAAACCCGGCTCCCGACCCCTCCACCCAGATCATCACATGCTCCTGTCCCCATCAGACGGTAAAGTTCTTCAATTCGGTCAGATTGAGGGAGGAGATATCGAACAGGTTAAGGGTATGACGTATAGCATCGATGCATTGCTGGGTAAGAACACTCCCGTTTCAAGCATTGCGAGCGGATCTTCTGGAAATGCGACTGGACAGCCTAGAGAGACTTCAAAGGACGAAGAGGTTATCCGACGAGACGAGGAATTTGCCAAGGTCAATGGTATCTCATACACACTCCCCGACCTATTTTCTGGATCCGGAAAGAAAGAAACCGTATCAGACGAGTCAACATCCGTCTCCCAGAGCACCGTCTCCGAGGTCCGCGCAGAGCTGGCGCTCGGCGAGAAACCCTGGTACGATATCCTGTCCCCAGATAAGACTACTTCCCTTTACTACGCCGTCATCTACCTCGCCCCCGGAGACTACCACCGCTTCCACTCCCCCACCAACTGGGTGGTTGAGCGCCGCCGCCACTTCGCGGGCGAGCTCTACAGCGTGTCGCCCTACCTGCAGCGCACACTCCCCGGCCTCTTCACACTGAATGAGCGTGTCGTACTACTCGGCCGCTGGCGCTGGGGTTTCTTCAGCTACATCCCCGTGGGTGCCACCAACGTGGGCTCCATCAAGGTCAACTTCGACAGGGAATTGCGCACCAACAGCCTCCTCACCGACACGGCCGCGGACCGTGCCGCCCAAGAAGCCCACGAGCGCGGCGAGCCGTACCTGGGATTTGCCGAGGCAACGTACCAGAGCGCCAGCCCCGTCCTGGGCGGCCACGCCCTGGGAAGGGGTGACGAGATGGGCGGATTCCAGCTGGGAAGCACCGTCGTTCTTGTATTCGAAGCCCCCTCGGAGAAGACGCTTCCCGACGGAAAGACATCCGGCTGGGAGTGGAAGGTTGAGAAGGGGCAGATTGTGCGCATGGGCCAAGCCCTCGGCCGTGTCATTGACCAAGATTAAAGACATATATATCACTTACTTGGCATTTTTGGATACAGAGCAAAGCTCAACAACAGAACATAGTAAAAGAAAAAGAAACCACAGGAACTGCCATGAGCGGATATAAAAGAGTAATTTTACTGTATTTAATTTATTCTTGTAGTTCTACCGACCACGACCTTTGTTCGCCCTGCAACAAGGCAACGTAAGCGCAAATCTATAGTCTTCGCTCTACTCTAAAAACCAATGAACTCCGCCCAAATGCTTGCTCTCCCTTCTCTTCCACAGCTAGATCCTAGCAGCGAGTCAAGCGCCGAAGACCTTGACGCGCTCCTCGACGGGCTTGAACTCCTTGGGCCCGGCCTCGCCGGCGCGGCCGCCAAAGACGAGCTGGGCGTTGAGCTTCCAGGTGGCGGGGAGGCTCCACTGGGCGGCGACCTTCTCGTCGATGATGGGGTTGTAGTGCTGGAGGTTCGCGCCGAGCCCCTCGTTCTCGAGGGCGGCCCAGAGGGCGAGCTGCTGCATGCCGAGGGACTGGGCGGACCAGCCGGGGAAGCGGTCGGCGTAGAGGGCGAAGGCCTTCTGCTGGCCCTGGACGGTCTCCTCGTCCTCGAAGAAGAGGACGGTGCCGGCGGCGCCCTTGAAGCCGGCGAGGCGGTCGGCGGTGGGCTGCCACTTGTCCTCGGGGACGATGGCCTTGAGGCTGTCGGAGGTGATGTCCCAGAGCTTGTCGTGCTCGGCGCCGAAGAGGACGACGAGGCGGTTGGACTGGGCGTTGAAGGAGGAGGGGGTGTGGAGGGTGGTTTGGTTGACGAGCTCCTGGACGCGGGCAGGGGTGACGGAGCCCAGGTTCTTGCTCAGGGCATAGTAGGTGCGGCGGTTCTGGAGAACCTGGAGGAAGGACTCGGTAGCGACCTTGGCAGCCATTGTGATGGAGTTTGAAGGGGTTTGTTTGGGGGGTTTTTGGAAGTGTGTAGAAGAGAGTAGTAGAGTGAAGATGTAGAGCTGGATGGAATGAAGGGGCAGTGGCGGAGGAGGAAGGGGCAGGAGGGACGATTAAATACCTAGTCGCAACGGCCGCAATGTGTTGAGCTCAATTGCGTGTTACCACCAGCTTCTACGACCTACCCACCTGATGGAGCTGTCGCCATCACCCACTCTGGAGGAGGGGGAGGGGCATGGATCACGGCAACGAGTCAAGGCGATTATGCCATCACACTGCTGGAGGGCAGTAAGCAAGGCTAGCCGTTTTGCGTATTCCCAATTTGTCAACCTTACGGCAGGGATTTCCGCGCGGGAGCTGGTCCCAAAAGGTCGCAAAAAGTTGCAGATATGATACAATCGTTCGGTATGAGGTTCCTCGCTTTGTGACACCCGCGCGGTTGCCCTGACTTTTGCTGCTGACTACTGATGATAAATCCACCAAAGCCTTGTGCCGCTAGCGCCTTGGGTCCACCTCGAGACAGCCGTAGCGGATGCTCTTTCGGGCACTTTCTGCTGCTTCGGTGCGTCCTGCTCTTGATCCCTTTACGCCTATTTAGCGGGCCGTGGGCGACACCGCCTACAGTTTCGAGTGTGCCGTATCATATGCATGTGTCTACGATGCTTCTAAAAGAGGGAAATGAATAGATAGGGAGTTGAGTATCTCGCAGTTTGCATCTACAAACAGACATTCTCGGCACATCCCTTTGGAGCATTGAGCCATTAGTGGGAGGAGGGTCAGCACTTTAAGTGCCGGAATCCACACCATGTTCCGGCTCTGTGTTGGTTGGTGTGGTGGCTGGCGTGGACGGTGAGCGGTCACGAAGATTGAAGAATGAGGAGATTCACCTCAGCGACACGGCTAGAATTTTAGTGGTCTATCCTGACCTGTCATCCCGCC